TAAATTCTTTGCCTAGGCTGATGTGTAGAAGAGTGTGTCCTACATTTTCTTCTAGAATTTTTATACCTTACATTTAAGTCTTTTATCCATCTTGAATTAATTTTTGTAAGTGGTGGTCTCTCTCCATTGAGGTCCTGTTTCATTCTTCTACATGTAGCTAACCAATTTTCCCAGCACCATTTATTAAATAGAGCTTCGTTTCCCCAGTGTATGTTGTTGTTTGCTTTGTCAAAGATCAGTTAGTTGTAGGTTATAATTTCTATATGTTAGAAAATGGTTCTTCTTTTAAGACCCTTGATTTGCTTCTTGGCAGAGTATTTTAGTATATGGATTTTATTATAAGACACTTTACTCCTATATGCTTTAAAGTTGCTTTAAAAAGCATACAGATATACAGTGTCTGTGGTGTGAATGGCACTTTCCAGGGCGTTGCAGTGTACATAAGCTTACAGAGACCCGGAAGAATGTAAAGTTGCCTTCCCGAAAATTCTGTGCCTGTCAAGTTACCAGGCATGGATGGGGATGTTCACATATGCAAAGGCTTGAAAAATAGGGTACTTCCTCAGAAAACCATTCAGAGATGCACTCTGTCTAAGCAAAAAATTAATGCAAATCAATCACTCAGATATGTGAAAACGATAAAAGAAAAGGACTGGTGGTAAACAGTGAAGCTAATTGAATATATAAAGAAGTATAGATGAAATATAATATAGCTCATACGTGTATAATTACAAGTGAACATTAACAGTCAAAACCTATTCTCAAAAATAAATGTACTTAACAAAATGGTATATGAAGAATCGGGATCCGTAACCTCAGATTAATTTAAAACAGTTTAAGGTCACAATAATTTAAACTTCTTCTAATGGAAGAACAAATCAATGGAGTCTACACTAGACTAGAGTTGACTAGAAAGCTCTGAAAGCAAATCTAGACTATATATGTAAAGATGCTAAGATAGAACAAAGAACTATAAATCCATAGTAAAGAATACTGGGAATATTGATTCAATATTTAAAAATTATGTTAAGGAAATTCTTTCTTTGGGATGCTGCCCTTTTTCAGCCCTCTTCTCTCTTTCCTCTCTCCTCCCCCTCTCCTTCTAAAATATAAAATATACTTATGCTTTTATATCCTAAAAAAAGTAAAAATTATTTTTTTCAGATTCCCTTGCCATGTCATATGTTAAAATAAATTACAGATTGATAAAGATTTATGGAAAGAAATTACATAAGACACATAATTGCAGATGAATATTAACCATGCTCAGGCTAAGTACTTTGAGCCCAAAAGTAGATCACAAAGGCCTATATCTCAACTGTGCAATAATTAGTTATATTTAGTAACAACAAAATCCTAAATAGTTCAATGATCACAATTTGGGGAATATATTTCAAACAAAATTTAGCAGTAAACTCTTATCCATGAATCACTAAGAAAAATGTTAAGCCTACTACACTCGTTTCACTTACAAGTTGATACAAGAAAACTTCTCTGATCTCATTGAATTCCACAGATTTTTAATAATGATCATATTTCATTTTGGCAACAGTGGTATAGTGGGTATTTTCATACACTACTGAGGAGGACTATGAAATATATTTTTGGCTATCAGTTTGACAGTATGTATTAGAAGCCTTTAACATTCATACCCTTTGAACCAATTATATCACTCAACAGAATTTAGAGAAATAAAGATGCAGATGTCAAAGTGTGTACATTGATAGACTAGTTAAATAAACATTCATTAAAAATGGTGGTTTTAAAAGTTATTTAATGAAGGCGGCGCCTGTGGCTCAGTGGGTAGGGTGCTGGCCCCATATGCCAAGGGTGGTGGGTTCAAACCCAGCCCCGGCCAAACTGCAACAAAAAAAATAGCCAGGCGTTCTGGTGGGCACCTGTAGTCCCAGCTACTCGGGAGGCTGAGGCCAGAGAATCACCTAAGCCCAGGAGTTGGAAGTTGCTGTGAACTGTGTTACGCCATGACACTCTACCCAGGGTGATAAAGTGAGAGTCTGTCCCCCCCAAAAAACCAAAATGTTAAAAGTTATTTAATGACAGGACAAAATGTTGCTTATATAATACCCAGTGAAATAAAAGCAACATACGACAAGATATAGAATATTATTATTCCAATTTGAGAAAAATTTACTGGAAAAAATATACCAAAATATTAGGGTTATATGAATATCTTTAATGTCTTTTATTTTTTTGAGATAGAGTCTCACTTTGTCACCCTTGGTAGAGTGCCCTGGCGTCAGAGCTCACAGCAACCTCTAACTCTTGGGATCAAATGATCCTCTTGCCTCAGCCTCCTGAGTAGCTGGGACTACCGGCACCCACCACAACACCTGGCTATTTTTAGAGATGGGGTCTCACTTTTGCTCAGGCTGGTCTTGAACTCCTGAGCTCAGGCAATCCCACACCACCTCCCCACCCCCACCGCTGCCTTGGCCTCCCAGAGTGCTAGGATTATAGGCATGAGCCACTGCATGACCTTATAATGTATTTTTATATATTTTTTATATATTCTGTAGTGAGTTTGTATTTTATAAGCAGTTTGATTACAAGTGAAATGTTAAGTTCTTTCCAGCATCTTCTACTCTTCATTGAGTATGTTTTCTACTAAACAGTGAATTGCTTTTATGTAGAAAACTTCATCTGTTTGGCTTAATTCTGTAAAATACATAAATCATACATGTCGGGAGTGGGTAGTGAGGAAAGTGAATTTCCATGGTATTGTTCAAAGGACAAAATTTAAAATAGGCATTTTATTTTATTTGACCCCCTTTAGCTCTCTTTTATACAGTAAATTCAATTTATGAGATGCCAGGAAAAAGAAAACTAATGCATTTCTTCAAGATGGTATAAGTGTGCTAGTTATAAATTTAAATTTGTAGCATGTCAGTGGACGGTTTTGAACTAAGATCTCTTATAAAATTAGTCTGACCAAGTTTAGACATTTAGGATGAAAAGAAACGTATGTGGGACTCTTTCCGTTAGAGTGGAACATAGGATGGAACACTACCTGGAACAGTGTTCCCTTGGGATGTGAACAGCTGTACTCTATTCCTGGAGGTACATCATGCTACCCCTTTCTTTGTGCTGTGAGCAAAGCAAGAGAAGGTTCCTAATAGGGTTTGTCCTTTCAGTTATGCTGTAGGTAGGATGGCAGCTAGAGCCATTTGAAAAGCAGTAAGGTAAGAAAATGATGTCAATGTATTATGAGAGGGGGTTGTAGAAGAATCACCGTTGTATTACCTAGGCTAATATCCTAGCTGATGAGCTCCCATATCACTTAGAATTGACATTTATTCCCTCTCAATAATAAAGCAGTTACAACATCAGAAAGTACTTGGACGACTGAGTTTAAGTTAGAATATCACTAATGTACAAATGAGTTGTATACTAAAAGTTGTCTATATCCTACAATTCTATCAATTCCTCCACTAAAAACAAAAATGTAATGCCCTTAAGAAGTATCTTTTTCCTCAGTCATTTATAGCACTTTCAAATAATTCTTTTTCCTATAACATATATGAAAGCTGGTATTTTCTTTTATCAATGGATGGATGAGAAACAGAAAGAGTTTTGATGTACAGACATGATTTGGACTCAGAGTTTGTCTTTCAGCATGATGATTTAAAATGGTCTTTTTCTTTTCTCCCTCCCACTTGCTCCCTTTCTTCTTCCCCTTTGCTTTGGAAAAGGACTTAGGAGAAAAGCTTATACTTTTAATAAGTTAATGATTTGCACCCTGTTGGTTATTGTCTGGTATTTTGTCCAATTTTAAAGGCTTTGTTTTATTTGATCTGAAAGTGTACCCACTTAGAGTAAAAAAAAAAAAAAAAAAAGCAGGCCTGAGTCATTTAGAAGGCTTTTATCGGATATGTTAGCTTTAAAGAACTTATATTAATTATTTTACCAAAAGCCTTTTTATTCCTTTTATAGACCAGAATTAGACACGAGTTCTTTAGTTTAGTGGTACTTATCTCTTAGCATTTCCATTTCCTTGCCAGCCTTTATTTTCTTCTTCCTCAACCAAAAAGGAAAAAAGAAAAAGGAGATTTTCATATTTTAGTTTAAAGCAAGATTCTGCCCACAAACTGCTTTTGTTTAGAAGATTAAAAATAAGGGTGGGGGAAGGTGCTGATGGAATGTTTATTGCACTTTGGGTTTGCAGTGACCATCAATAGGGAAAAGCTAGTGAACACTACATATATTTCCTAGGAACAGGTAAGTGAAGGGAGGTGATTTGGAAGAGGTGTTCCACTGTGAGCAGTGATTAAGTATTATAGAGGCCCTTTCTTGGTCTTAGAAGCCCAATTAAAATGTGTGTCTGGGTTTCAAAGGACAGTGCAGATGGCAGTCCATGCCACTCATCTGGGTGCTTTTGAGTTAGCCTCAAGACATTGACAATTCTGATGTATGGTTCATACATACTCTATCACCATCTCCGTTCTTTGCCTCCCAACCCTCTCCATCTTCTCCTTTTCCTTCCTTGATGATTATCTGCAAGATGGTAAGAAAGAGAATTTTGTTTGTTTGTTTGTTTGTTTTTGAGACAGAGCCTCAAGCTGTCCCCCTGGGTAGAGGGCTGTGGCATTACAGCTCACAGCAACCTCCAACTCCTGGGCTCAAGCGAGTCTCCTGCCTCCGCCTCCCAAGTAGCTGGGACCACAGGCTCCCGCCACAACGCCCGGCTATTTTTTGGTTGCAGCCGTCATTGTTGTTTGGTGGGTCCGGGCTGGGGATTCAAACCCGCCACCTTAGGTGTACGTGGCTGGCGCCTTAGCCGGTTGAGCTATAGGCGCCGAGCCAAGAAAGAGAATTTTGGAACCAAGAAATGAGAGGCTTGGAACTGGAGGAAGATCTATTTTTTTTTTTTTTACTCTTTGGGTTCTTGCTACTCTGTCCCAGAATATACCCCCAGGCAGTTGGAATCACCAGTCAGAAAAACACTGGAGAATGACTTTACTTCTGTTTCTTTTCCTTTGCAGGAAACGCATGAAATTGTGGCAATCAAGAAATTCAAGGACAGCGAAGGTATATATATATATTTTTTTCTTCTGTATTAAGTTTTTGTAAATAGAATATAGAAGAGATGGGATCTAGATGGTTAGACTCTGTTTCTTCCTGAGATTTTAAAGTCACATTATGAGAAAGTGAATATATCTTATTACTTACCATGCTTTGCTCTGAAACATTCAGTTCTTTCCATATGACTCTTTTCAAATCTCATGATATTAGAAAATTCGTCTTGTATTTTAAGGTACAATCAACATTGGAAATCTTGCTCCAAAGGCTGGATAGAAAGCCTATTATCTATGCTGTTTCTATATTAAAATGAAAGAACTGATTTGAGGTAAATACTTTTGTGTGTTCACACTAACAACAAGTACTATGGTATTATGTTAGAGATTTCGTTGTTTTTAGGTGGCTTGCTTGAGCTCAGGAGTTCGAGACCAGCCTGAGCCAGAGCAAGACCCCACCTCTAAAAATAGCCAGGTATTGGTGGTGGGCACAGCTAGTCAGGAGGCTGAGGCAGGAGGATTTCTTGAGCCCACAAGTTTGAGATTGCTGTGAGCTATGATAACCACAACTCTGTCTTTAAAAAAAAAAAAAGAAGAAAGAAGGAAAAAAAGTATCTTGTGCAGTCAAGAAAGTAGGATGTTTGTTTATTTTAGAGACAGGATCTCGCTCTTGCTCAGACTGGTCTCGAACTCCTGAGCTCAGGCAATCCACCCGCCTTGGTCTCCCAGGGTGCTAGCATTACGGTCATGAGCCACCACACCCAGCAAAAAAAGTTTAAAATGAAGCATTTTAGTAGTTTGTTAATCATTAAATCTAGACTGGGCCATCCAAAGATAGCCAAAATAGAGAAACTGATCACAAAACTATATGTGGCCTTTAAGGAGCTCTAGGCAGCACTTTTTCTAAACCTTTTTGGACAGAGGTCCACGGTACAAATATATATATTCTAACCCAATGTCCACCCATGTATTGTACTATATGTAACTGAAGGAAAGGTGTTATAAACTATGATATGCATGTGAGGGTCTCCACTTTCCTTTCTCTCCTATTCACATAAATTTATATAAATGCTTATTGTGGCGTCAAATAAATTGATTTCCCCACTAATGAGTCACAGCCTGCCATTTGAAAAACAGTGATGTAGGGGGAAGAGGCACCAATATAGCATCAACCTTCATATATAATCCGAAGTATGCAACTAACAGTCATCATGTCCCTTCTTCAGGACACATTTACTCAGTACTGTCAGACCCAGGTTTGATATTTATGAACAGTTTCATCACTTTCACCTCAGAGATTTAGCAAACATTAAATAACAAAAAAGGGCTTGCTCATGCAAAAGTCCCAAGATAAATTCGGTATAGTTGATGTAATCCATCTCTGATGTGCTGGGTATGTGGAACACATGCAGATCAGCTGGGAACTTTAGCAGCCATTGTGTGGGCAGCCTTAAAGGGAAGGCAAAAGAGAAATGCTTTTCACTTTTGGGATTGGGGGGAGGCACTTGCTTCAAATGTTGTGCTTGTGCTCTGACAGGAAGCAGTAGCCCTGGGCCAACCCACTGTGAGACCATTGGAAATGAGCTCTTTGAGCACTTGACTTTGGGCTAACAACAGGCTTCAACAGACAAATGGTGATCTCCTAAAAAGGGTGATTGCAACAGATGATCAAAGCTAATCTTTGCCTGCTTGCTGTGCATTCATCTTGCAGGGCACACTGACAAGCATCAGTTTCCACCAAAAATAATAATTGTCATCAATTTTTTTTAAAGGAGTACAATCTAGGCCATATATGCCACTGCTTTTTTTCTTTTTAACTAAATACTGTATTCTTCACAATCTTCATCCTGTGCACACCGATTCTTACTTTCAATTATATGGTATATTTTTACTTATGATACTTTCCAAGTGGCAGGCAATAATGTATTCTTTGAAATTCATTGAACACTGAGCCAAGTAAGATAAGAACCATGAAGATAACTCGGGTGTGGATACTTTCAAGAATTTTAGGACCTATTAGTAAAATGAAGACCTGTAAATAATGATAAAACTATAGCAAACAGTCAGTGCCTGAATGGAGATGGGGAATTTGGATAATTTTGAGGCACAAGAGGTTGTTTCTGACTGTGGCATCTTGGAGTACATGAAGAGTCTAAACATAAGAATATTTGATTTTCCCTTATTTCATTGAGCTGACAAAACATTAATCTGTTCTTACCTCCTCTTTGCCAAACCACTATCATGCACTATCCCTCCAGGCGTGTAGCCTTATCACCTACGCTTACTTCTAGAGGGACACTTCCAAAGCGTTTCTGTGATTGAATCTGAAGACATACCCAATTACTCATAAACTCTTTAGTTCCAGTCCTGTTATAGGCCTACTTTCTTACTGGTTGCAGCTCTCCCTGGGAGATCAGTACTTCATTTTCGGGCTTTACCCTTTCTTCCTGCCAGAGTAGTGTCTTACTTAACAGAAAGAAATATATATGTGTGATGAGCAACTCTTTTGGAGTGTGAACTATACACAGTCACTTATGGGTGAGGACATCCATTTAATTCTCATTCAGTTTATTATCTGAAATGTCAGCCAATTATAATAAAGTATCATGATAATATTGTCTTTATTATCATGTAGTTCTCATCAATCCCATGTAGTCCTCAATTTATGAAGAGGATACATCCTGATAAACCCATTGTATGTTGGAAATAGTGTTAAGTTGAAAATGTATTTAATGTTCCTAACCTGCTGAATGTCATAGCTTAGCCTAGACTACATTAAATGTGCCTAGAACACTTATATTAGACTACACTTGAGCAAACTCATCTAATACAAAGCCTGTTTTATAGTAAAGTGTTGAATATCTTACATAATTTATTGCATATTGTACTGAAATTAAAAAACAGAATGGTCGTATGGGCACTCAAAATATGGTTTCTACGGAACATATATAGCTTTGACACCATTGTAAAGTTGAGAAATCATAAGTCGAACCGTTGTAAGTCAGGGACCATCTGTATTCTCTCACTGATGATATTAAGGGATATTTTGTGAGAGAATATATTATCTTATGGTAGCTTTAAAAGATTATGCTAATGTCCTACTTTCTTGTTAAATTCCTATGCATTCACAAATTTATATAAAATATTTTTGATACTATATTTTAAGGTAGACACTATTAGTTCAAGAGGTCCCTGTTATGCCAGAATAATAGATCTCTATTAAAATGGAAACCAAAACTTCATTGTAAATGAAAGATTATTATGGGACTTTAAGTCAGTAAAATGAAGCTAAAATTATGAATATATGTTCATAGTTAATACAACTTAACTTCTTGTAGCAACTGTTGTGCTATGTCTTAGAGAAAAGAATCAAGTGTTAATCTTTTTTGGGAGGAGGAGCAATTTTTACAACAAAATTATAGGCTAGGCTAATGAATAACTTACACAATAAAAAAAGGGTCATATAAAAATGTACAAAAGGCTGGCTCAGGCCCGTAGCTCAGCGGTTGGGGCGCCAGCCACATACACTGGGGCTGGCGGGCTCAAACTGGCCCAGATCTGCTAAACAACAGTGACGACGACAACAAAAAAAAGCCGGGCGTTGTGTCGGGCACCTGTAGTCCCAGCTACTTGGGAGGCTGAGGCAAGAGAATCGCTTAAGCCCAAGAGTTTGAGGTTGCTGTGAGCTGTGACGCCATGACACTCTACCAATGTAGTAAGACTCTATCTCCAAAAAAAAAAAAAAAATATATATATATATATACACACACACACACAAGGCTTTATCAGCTTTCTCTTCATTGTTTTAATATTCCTGTCCTTCTGGATTTGTCTTTTTCGGGATTTTATTCTCCAGTGTTAGCCAGTATGATCAGATTATTTATCAGTATCTTTTCCTATGATTCTCCCTGAAAGATTTTGACACCCTGAGTGGGGATAAAAGACTCTTACAAAAGAGAAGAATGTTTGAGTGACAAATTTTTATCTGACATCACTTCATTAGTTAATTTTTTCTATTTAGATGACATCTGCTTTTTTTTTTTTAAGGCAAGAGTGAAACAGTTTATTGAGGAAGAGAAAGATAGGTTTATTACAGAATAAGAAAGCTTACAAAGCAGGATACATTCACCGTAGACAGCGAACAGGCCTCCATTGCCAGGCCAGGTAGGCAAAGAGGCCACTTTTACTCCTTGACACTTCTTCATAAATTTAAAGTCTCAGATAATGAATTCTTAACAGTACCCTAAACAATGATATTATAAGTTTGTCTGTTAATGTAAGTTCCCTCCAAGAAACTTAAACTTGGAAACACCTAAGTAACTAGACGTCTCCATGGAATTAGTTCTGTCTATCACTTGGATTTTTCTGAGAAGAAGAGAAAAAATGACCACAGACCATAAAGATACCACAGATTATTTAGTTAAAAGGCCCCTTTTCAGACAATGTGTAATTATAAATTTAGCCTAATTCTCCTACCCTTACTATAACTCCCACCTTATATGATGAGATGTGATGTTCAGGTGATAATCTTCTATCATTATTGAATTATTCTCCTATACACATCCAAGTGTCTGCTGTCCTCAATTTATTAAATAATCCAAGGACACTGCTTTAGCCTGCATAGCTTTCGATCCACAGGAATTTAAAATATTATCTGTCCAACTTGTACTTTAAGAGAACCTGTTGTCCAGAGTGTTTTTGACATACATGTGGATCTTCCTTTTGCTTCTTTGGACTTTTCTATCTTTCCTTCAATGTAAAGATGATGGAGTGAAGAGGGATCTTCCCTATTTGTTTACTGGGCTTCCATACATGGTACTAGGGCCAGCTCCAGGGAGCTGTGCAGCAGTCCATGTTTAAGATGGAATATAGCTTGTGTCTCTGAGTTTATAGCAAAATTGTTTGCATTTTATATTCTGCTGCTACTTATGTTCTCTATAAACACTTTTCTCTTGGAATGGACATTCTTAATTATAAGAAAATGATCATTTAGTCTATCCTCTAATTCATTTT